CCACCATGCTCTGCAAGGCAATGATCCCGGAGTACTTGCTTGTCTCCTGGTGCGGAAACGTTTCCTACTACGGAGGACCCAATAAGGCCGCTCTCCCCAGGAACCTGATGCAAAGGCTTTCCAATTACCTCCAGCAGAGCTTCGTGGAGATGTCCCTGGAGGATTTCAGCTCTATCCCCGGACATATAGACCGGCTCAGGCAGAACAATCATGCTAAACCGGACATTGTTAGATTTTTTTTCAGTAGTTGCACTGCCAAGGACTGAAACGTTAAGCGCCTAGGGCAAAGTAATCATGCAAAACCCATTGTTAATATTGTTAATATTCCTGTTCTGTTAAAAATAAATGTTTACATGTTTAAAACACTTACTGACTGATCCTTCCCCTGATTCTGTGTCCGGGTTAACGCCTGGGGACGGTTGGTAGGGGATCTCTGTAAGGGTGATGAAGAGATCCTGGCTGTCGGGGAAATCAGCGTTGTAAACGCTGTCGACTGCCTCGTCCTCCTCATCTCCTTCCTCATCTTCCCCGTCCGCTAACATGTCCGAGGAAGCGGCCATCGACAATATCCCATCCTCAGAGTCCACGGTCAGTGGTGGGGTAGTGGTGGCGGCCGCACCTAGGATGGAATGCAGTGCCTCGTAGAAATGGGATGTCTGGGGCTGGGATCCGGAGCGTCCGTTTGCCTCTTTGGTCTTCTGGTAGCCTTGTCTCAACTCCTTGATTTTCACGCGGCACTGCGTTGCATCCCAGCTGTATCCTCTCTCTGCCATGGCTTTAGAGATCTTCTCGTAGATCTTTGCATTCCGTCTTTTCGATCGCAGCTCGGAAAGCACGGACTCATCGCCCCACACAGCGATCAGATCCAAGACTTCCCGATCAGTCCATGCTGGGGCCTTCTTTCTATTCTGAGATTGCATGGCCATTTCTGCTGGAGAGCTCTGCATCGTTGCCAGTGCTGCTGAGCTCGCCACGATGTCCAAACAGGAAATGAGATTCAAACTGCCCAGACAGGAAAAGGAATTCAAATTTTCCCGGGGCTTTTCCTGTGTGGCTGGTCAGAGCATCCGAGCTCGGACTGCTGTCCAGAGCGTCAACAGAGTGGTGCACTGTGGGATAGCTCCCGGAGCTATTACCGTCGATTTCCATCCACACCTAGCCTAATTCGACATGGCCATGTCTAATTTAGCGCTACTCCCCTCGTTGGGGAGGAGTACAGAAGTCGAATTTAAGAGACCTCTATGTCGAACTAAATAGCTTCGTGGTGTGGACGGGTGCAGAGTTAATTCGATGTAACGGTGCTAAATTTGACATAAACTCCTAGTGTAGACCAGGCCTAAGTACTGAGCTATAATAAATCTGCAAACTGATTTTATTAGCGAGTTGTCCAACATCAGAGCAACAAGTTATTTGTGTTTTAAATTATCCAAAATATAAAACCTTCCGGCCTCATGGAGGGAGGAGCAGACTTCAACAATAAGGAAACACACATTGCATTTTCCCCTTCAGATTTCAAGTACTAAGTGTCTGTGTGGGGCTTCTCTTCCTAAAAAAGAGCTAGTTAGATTCCCACCATGTGTGGGGAAATTATGCCACAAATTGCTCTGAGCTTAAGAAAAATTGCTGTCTAACGCAACCAATTATAGCTGTGATTTTTGGCGTTAGTTTATGACAGACAGGGCCGGCTCCAGGGTTTTGGCCGCCCCAAGCAGCCAAAAACAAAAAAAAACAAAAACAAAAAAAAAAGCCGCGATCTAAAAAAAGACGCGATCGCGATCTGCGGCGGCAATTCGGCAGGAGGTCCTTCACTCCCAGGCGGAGTGAGGGACCGTCCGCCGAATTGCCGCCGAATACCTGGAACTGCCGCCCCTGTCCGGAACGGCCGCCCCAAGCACCTGCTTGAGAAGCTGGTGCCTGGAGCCGGCCCTGATTACAGACAAAGTAAACTGTCTTCCTGGTTTAAAATGTTCGGTTTTGTTTTATTATGCTACTGTTCAGAACAGGAATAAGTTTCTCATTTAGTGTACTGTTGATGTAGAAGCCCTGGTTATGCTCCAGAGTTTGTTGTATGAAACAACCAACCAACCTCAGTAAAAGGCGGGAAATCTCCGTGGGTCCTGCTTCTGGAAACCATCCCTATCCTCTACCACACATCCATGTTTTAAAAGAGAGTTTTCATTGTAGCAGATGTCTTTTTCTGCCAAACCTACTAAATTTCCTACAGATGTGCAAGTATCAGAGCAAAGATACAAGTCTATGCTGTTTCTGGAGGGAGGAATTTTCTGTTCCTGGTGCTTGTGAACTATCTTGCCTACCAAAATGGGTATTTAGAGTCAGACCGGTTTCTCTAATGCTCGGAACCATTGCACAATGTTATTTCTGCGTAGATCAACTTAATGTGTGGGTACTGGAACGGATCTCAGTTTCTATTATATTTACACAAATTGTTCCCTGGGATTTCTGCCTTCTACATCTCAAGGACGTGTAAGTGCCTATTCCTAAGGGGAAAGCAGCACAGGGAATTCTGCTCACTTGCTAATAACTGTCTTCACATCTAGGCTCAGGACCTTCCCCTCAGTCTACTAACCTTTCTGGAGTCTTCAGAGCCTTGGTGTGGTGAAGTTGAGACCACACACCCCTTTCTGGCCTTCAAATCCAAGCTCTCTCCAGAGAGGCTGCAATTCAAGATATAGACCAAACCATTGCCTTCTGGCAGCATTTCCAGTCAATGCAGAGACGAGCTATCTAACAGCAGACCAGAGGTCCCGGAACGTGGGGGCTGGAGCGGATGCCAAAGGTGAGCACAATAGGCACCCAACTCCCCCACACATTTGCATTAGCAAGCACAGTACAAAATGTCAAACAAGTAACAATTGTCCCTTATCTCTATGTGATCCGGGGCGAAAGAGCAGCTGCTTTCATCAGGCAGAAGAGGGCCATAGATGGCCCATGTAGAACTACACTTATGTGCTTCAATCAGGAGCGCACCTACATTTTCAACCACTTCAATCAATTTTCCTTTAGAGCCTAGTGATGTCACGTTTTGGATTGCCGTAACCTCAGAGCCTGACTAAGTGGTTGTATGAATAGCATCTGTATTTACTTCAAAAGGGAGTTGCAGCAGCGTGTAATTCAAAGAGCCCTGGAAAGCTGGGTGCTCTCCTTTTGTGAGCTGAAGCAGAAAAAGAAGATAATGGCACGTCGTAGATGTCGGATAACTGTTACACATTTACCTGTACAGGCTAGGTACAGACATGCTACTGCCCTTTTTGTTCTCTCAGCTGCAGAAGCCTAGTGGAAAGGCAAATCCGAATCTCAGCACATATAAGGGTATGTCTACACTACAGGATTAATCCGAATTTAGATAATTCGAATTTGGGAAACAGGTTGTATAAATTCGATTGTGCGCGGCCACACTAAGCACCTTAATTCGGTTTTTAACCACATTAATTCGGTGGTGTGCGGCCACACTACCCCATTAATTTAAACACAGTAATTCGGTGGTGTGCGGCCACACTAACCCTAATTCGAATTAACAAAATCGATTTAGGCTCTACTCCGCTCGTCGAGGTGGAGTACAGAAATCGATTTTAAGTGCCCTTTAATTCGAATTAACTGGCTCTGTAGTGTGGACGGGTGAAGGGTTAATTCGGATTAACGCAGCTAAATCCGAATTAAAGTCGTAGTGTAGACCAGGCCTAACAGAAGCTTATAAAACAAGAGGATCTACTCCAGCACCAGAGATTACAGCACATTCTGTTAGCATGCAAGACTGGGAAGTGGCAATTAGCCCTCAGGCTGTAGGTTAAGATATTATAAAATGGACATTCAGGCATCATCAGTTGCGTCATTGGGACTATAGGGAATGCACGAGTATTCCTGATGTACCTCAGCTAACTTGTGTATATATACTTTCCTGCTTTACTCACTTGGCCTCCATGGGAATGATATTCTTTGCATCCTACTATCAGGCTTGTGGGACACCTATTAAAAAGCAGAAACCTTATATTAACTTTGTCTAACACTCCCAGCCCTCCTAAGGAAGGAGTAATAGTGCTGAAAAAATAAAACTCCTGAATGGTTTAATTCCTAAATTGATAATTTGTAGTTTAGTGGTTTCACAGCTCTGGCAATGATCACTTCTGTGTGAGGTTTTGCAGTGTGGGCGGTCTGGCATCCCCGTCATCACATCAAAGGCTTGGTCTGGCTCCAAGCTGAAGGAATGAGAGGACTCTTCTAACAGGCTCATTGGACATGAACAAAGTCTATCGGAGAGAACACATTTTTCCATTCACTCATACACCATGAAGTGCAAACACGTCACCCTCCCTTTCTCCCAAATCCAGTGCCTTTCCTGTTCATTTCAAGATCCAGTTAAAATTGCCCTTGATTTACAAACCCTCCAGCTGGAGTTCTACTTTCCCGGATTTCTTACTGCTCTCTCTCAACCCCTCATGTGTCTCCCCAAACAATCAGATGACAGCCAGTACAGGAGCCTCCTTTTCTCTTCTGCAGCTCCTGCCATCTGCAACAGCCTTCCATCGCTTTCCATTTAATTTCAACTCTGTGGAAAAGACAACTGTTCAGCATTGCCTAGTCATCTGTCTGTCAACTACCATTTATGACTGTAATTGTATTAAACTCCGGAAAGTGAGCTAAAGATTGCATGAAGCACACTACACTTCAGAGCTGCTTTGTACAACTGGAGCAGAGAATAACTAGTGATGTTGAGGGATTCTGCATTGAAAACCCACGCTTCAAAGTTTGGATCAAAATTTTCAACATTGCACTGTCCAGAAGAATTTGGATCTGGGTTTTTGGTTTGGGCTGACCCCTAGTTTTGAGATCAGCTTTTATACACACAAGGACCTTTAAACAAAACTATCTGAGTTTGCAAAACAATATTTTATTAATAAAAGATTTATAAACAGTAAGAAAGAAACTTCACTGCATGAAACGTCCAAAATAATTTCTGGAGCCATGAACTAGGTTCCTTAACAGCTGTACAAGGGTTTCCAGAGGGGAGTAGTACGAAGTACAAATTTCTCTAAAGATGGCTGAAAGTTCAAAAAAGCATCATGCATCTGTCCTATGCAGAGAAGCTACACAATAAAATAGACTTAAAAATACACACACAAAATCTGTACATCAGTGATTTTAAAAAGCCATGCGTGGTGTAGCACCCCGGGGGAGATTAGGGATGATCATACAATTCACTACCAGAGGAAACGCCATGATTCTGAATCAGGTACATGACTGGCCAGTTTCTGCTTGCAATTTCATCTCTTCTTTTCTCAAGGGGAAGGTGTCAATGAGCGCAAAGAGCTGCGCCGGTGTAGGTGGGAAAGAGTAACGCTCTTTGTCCATGCCGTGCTTGTCCATCACCACCACACTGAAGTTATAATGGGGGATGCGCAGCAACAACCTGAAAAATTCGGAAATCGGTTTTTGAACAGCCTTATTCCCATAAGGCCCCGTGAACGTCTAACACTGTTGTGAAAAGCAGGAAAGAGTTGGAGGAGATGGAAGGCCGGGGTGGCCAAGCTACAGGAGCCAGAGTTCCAAAATGCAGCCCACAGTTGTGCTTCACTGGGAGGTGAGGCCTGCAGAGACTACAGCTCCTAGCAGGCCCAGCACCATATTCTTCCTCTCAGAGCAGGAGGCCAGGTGGCACTTGCAGGGACTTGCAGGTGCTGCAGGCTGTGCCACTACATTAAAGGACAGTCAAGGCAGCTGCAATCTTTCATTTTATGCTGGGTCTGAGAGCCAGGTGGGGTACAAGCCAGGTACGTATCCACAGGGCTCAGGGGCATCTTTACTTGCCTAAGCAGTGCCTCGCCAGCTCCACTGCTACTTACACCTGGGCTGGGGGGAAGTGTAGTGTATGTACTCTGCATGCTGCTGAAAGGACTGTACAGCGGTACCTTAAGCATCTGCTCCCTAAGAGGTTTGCCAGTGGACTTCAAAGGGATCAGTCCTAATTTGGCATGACAGAAAAGCCCCCTATGTCCGTGTGTGGAAGAAATCATTTACACCTGCCCCTTTGCCTCTCTCCCCCACAGCTGGCTCTGGCACTCCCCCCTCCCCTCCCCCCCCAGCACTTCGAGTCCCCCTTACTGCAAGGGAGAAAGCCTAACCCACTCCCAGTCCAGCCTTAGTGCCATTAAAGCAGCCTAGGCGCCTGTGTGACTGCTGACTGCCACAAGCAGGCTGGGCAAGGCCATGGTGGTTTCCCTTCTGAAGCGGCCCTGCCTGTAGCAGTCCTAAAAGGGGGACTTCAAAGGGAAACCACTTCTAGCCTGGCTGCAGTGTTCAGTAGCACTACACAGATAGCAGGGCTGGTTCGGCTGGGGTGGGCTGGCAGCAGATAAAGACCCCAAGTGCCTAGGGTGACCAGACAGCTCGTTTGGCCCAGGACAGGCCCTTGTTTAAGCCCTGTCCCGCTGTCCCAACTTTTTTGGCAGAAGTGGACACTTGTCCCGTTTGCTCTAACCAACTTGATCAGTCGGCAAGAGCAAACGGGACAAGTGGCTGCTTTGGTCAAAAAAGTAGGGTGCAGAGGAACGTGCGAGGGGGTGAGCGGCACTGCCAGCCCCATGCGGGGGGAGGACGGGCTCAGGCAGCAGCGCAGGGACGGGGCAGGGCTAAGGGAAGCGGCTCAGGCCAGCCCTGCGCAGGGAGGTGAGATGGGGAGGTGAGATGGGGGGGTGGCCTCGAGTGAGCGGCTCTGCGCAGCCCCACAATGGTGTTCCGTTTTCCCTTTGGGACATATGTCACTGCCTGAAAGAGAAGCAGAGGGGTGGGAGGGGGAGAGAGGGGCAGACTGTGACTGCTGCTTGAGTGCAATCCTCCCGACGTAATTTGTGAAATCAAGGGGAAACCAAACACGTCTATTACGTAGACTAGGAAGTAGCACTCACAGGCCTCCATCGCTGGGCCAGGTGCAGCACAGACATACACACTGCTTGCTCTGTACATTCTAGGCTGTTGCAGTTGAAAAGGACTAGAGGCACACTAGTGCCATGACTGCTTCTGTGAGGAATCCACTAGCAGGAGAAAGTGAGGTGGGAAGAGTCTTCCTGGCTGCTCAAACCACCTAGTTATCACAAGTGGCAACAAAACTGAGAACATTGTGAGAGTCAAATGCTCACAGCGTGTTTCAATAGGAAACATTTTGAAGTGCTAGTTCATCTGTGCAAAATTGTCGACATTCCTTTTACAGAGAGCAAAGACCAGCTTACAGTGACTGTGTAGTAGCTGGAGCACAATCAGGACCAAACAAACTCTGAGGCTTAGCTGTGCTGCAAATCGTTTACAAAACAGATAGCAACCCCCTGCTCCCCTCCCCGATATCATTCAGTACCACCCTGTCTATATAAAATTCATTCTTGGAAATAAGTCACTTTGTGTGAAGAGGATCTAACAATACACATAATACATTTCACTGCCAATGTTATATTGGGATAAACAAGGTTCTATTATAAAAAGGATCCAAAAAACAAAAAAGACTACATTACACCCACAGCTGCTGAGGTGTAACTGAATGATGGTGAGATTTTTCATTTTACCTGAGTTGCAAAGCAAGTGCTGGAGGCAGCAACTTCACTCCTATTCTTCCTATCTGTGCTGGAAAGACACCAACCAATTCGATCACTGTAACATGTCGGAGGTCTAAACCACATTGCTCTGGCTAAAGGGGTCAAGAGAAAAACCAGGAATACATATCATGATTGGATTTAATTATAACAGTTGTTTACATTAAATGCACAATAAGGTGATGTTCTACACAGAGCTCCAAATCTTTGCTCTCTCTAAATGCTTTCTTATTTTAATTTAGACGTCAGCAGTGGGAACTTGAGAATGTTTTCTGGAGTCATGAAGGCGGCAGTTCTGCTACATTAATGGATTTTTAGCTGATTATTGGGGGGGGGGAGACCACCCAAGTACAATTTAGATGTCTTGGTAATGAATTGAAAAGATGCCAGTCTATTAAAAATTGTGCCAGCACTTTAATCTGGCACCCAAACAAAGAATGTGAAATGTGAGCCCGCTATAGAAAAGTGCTCTCTTATGCCAAATTGTCTGAGGATCATGGAGAGCAGAGGGGGGGAAAGGATTGCAACACTTAAATTTAACCTGGTCAAAAAGTCACCTAGGAATTGAGAATTTGGTTGTATTAATTGGTCAAGCCACTCATGTTTTAAAAATAAAATGCTGAAACACCATTTAAAAAAATTTTTTTTTTACATTACGCAACTGGCTTCTGGAATATATGGGGGGAAATCAGAGTAAGTTCAGGAGTCCAGATTTGCAACTGACACATAATTATCACTGCTGAATTTTGTTCCAGTGGTGGCAGGCAGTAAATTTACAGTCCTCACGGCCACCAATCAAGGCTCCATTCCCACCTGGGCTGGCAAACAATCTCTCTCTCTTCTGGGCACTTGTGCACCCCTATTGCATGCCACTAACTCTGACAACAGTCTGAGTAAAGTTTACAGTTAGATAAACTGATAAGCCCTGAGGGTGGGATTCACAAAGGTACTTAGGCACCTGAGTCCCATTAATTTCAATGGGAATAACTAAGACTGTTGTCGTCATTCCATGTTTTTGGAGCAAACACCACAAAGATGTGTCTCTTCTATAAAGACTGGTCTTAGTTTACCTTGAGAAAAAATACTATTGGAGTTTATACTAAATAATTTGGAGCGTTTTCTGCAAGTCCTAGAAACAGGACCACGTTGAGGCTACATTCAGGACTAGCGAGAAAACAATTCTTTGGCTGATGATTAATTTGGATTCTGTGCTCCTTTGGTTACTGGTGTATTAGTTACTTTTGCAGACAGCCAACACAAGCTTGACATGGATGAACAGCTTACCAACAAGAACGACTGGAGGTTTCTTTAAAGTCCTTCAGGAGTTTGCTAAGAACTGGATGGTGATGCTGGTATTAGCTGGTTATGAGCACAACATTAATTTCTCTTGGGAAGATAGAATAGGGTCAAACTAGAGCCACGTGAAGGCCAGTGTTTGGTTCATTTACCCCACTGAACTCTACTATACCCATGAGTAAAGTGAATTAGAGCGGTCCACTTTGGAGCAATGTTGACACTGATGATATTTCAGAGCCTTGCAAACACGTTTACTACAAAACTAGCAGCTCTTGGGCCAAATGCTCAGTGCTGTAAATGGGCATAGCTCCATTGCAGGGAGAGGGCAAGTCAATGAAGACTGACTGATTTACACCAATTGAGGATCTGGCTCTCGAGTTTAAAAAGAAAAAATGGAAAAAATGACCATGTCTTACCTGCAGCATTCCCAATTGCAACCTGTAGAAAAAATTGGCTGCAGTAGGAGTTGATACAATTAGTAGTCTCCGTTTCTCATAAAACTGATCCAAGAGGGCCGCTGCAGTTCTCACAGCAACATTAATATTCATAGCTGGAATTAAAAAACAAAAGCCGTGGAGCTCCCAGAAACAGACCCTTTTCAGACTTCAGCAGGCACAACTATTCAGCTGGACAGGCATGCCCTGAGAGGTATGCAGGGGCTGGGTATGGATGTTAAAGGGCCAAAGTCAAAAGGTGCAAACCTGGTCCCACTGAAATCAATGGGAGTTTTGCCATAGGCTGCAGTGGGGCCAGGATTTCAAGCAGTCCCCCTCTCTCTCTAAGGCTTTATCTAAGCTTGGAGCTGGGGGTGTGATTTGCAGCTCGAACAGATGTACTCGTACTTGCTCTCATCGAGCGAGTGCTCTCAAAATCGCAGCCCGGGCAGCAGTGAGCAGGGCTAGCTGCCCCCGACTACAAACCCACCTGGACCCCGTGGGTCTGTACTCCGCACTGCTAGCCCATGCTGCTGCTCACCGCTGCATGGCTACATGACTATTTTTAGCTTGCTAGCTGGATGAGAGCTAGCACAAGTATGTCTCCAAGTGTAGACACAGTTTTAGTGCCACCCAAAGCTGTGAAAGCTTGTTTAACTTTTACTGCAACGAAGAAGATCAGGTTCCTCAGTAAACAGAACTAGCATATAGTGCTCCCTCCCCACACAAAAGAAACCGTAGGTAAGGAAGAGTGAACCTGACAATCTCTGCACCTGAGGTCCAGCTTCTATCGTGAGTACAATAATGGAGCCAAGGCTAAGAGAAAATACTTTCTAAACATCGAGAGAGTAAATGGACCATGAAAGACAAGCAGCATGGAGTTATTGGGGGGCAGGGGGAGTCTTGCAAGATGAACAACATTGGTGAGGGAAGGGGGTTGTTTCAGAATAAGAAAATAAGTGGAAAAGTGGTAGGTGTAATAAACTTTAGCTTTTAGTATTGAGCATTTGAAACAGTCAGAGAATATATGTGCCAAATTAGAGCCAATCAGCTTGGCTAATGAGCACTGTCGTGACCTGAAAACTGTCCGAAGGACCATAAATAAGGGTAATTATAGACAACAAGGTAGCTAATTGGCGGTTAAAGATTTTTAGTGACCCTCAGCAGGGGATGGCTGCAGGAGTTGGCACAGGATTCTATCATATTTAACAGCTTCCGCAGTAACAATCTGGATGAGGACATGCAAGTAGCACATTAATTAACGTTAGAGATGCCACTAAACTGTGCTAGCATGAACCAGTGTAATGGCATCTAGAGAGATTAGAATTATGGACAGAAAATAAGATAAGATTCAGCTGGGGAAAATGTAAGGCAATACATCTAGATAAAAAAGACATGAAACACAGACCTACAATAAGAATAGAAACCAGGAAAGAGTCATGTTCACACAGGGTGAGGGGAGATAAGGAACAGCAGACTAGATCTGCATTTGCAAAGTGATATGATAGCAAAAATAACCAGTGCAGTTTTGAGTTGTATACAGAGGCACCACATCATGGACGGAAAAAATTTAGGTTGAGCAGTAGAAATATTTTTTCCTGATGGCAAGATCTCTCAGATTGTAGAATAGTTTTGTTTGGAAAATGGTGGAATCCTGATTGCTTGAGGGATCCAGCATTTGGCCTGGACAAAACATTGGAGAACGTGATCTAATTTGGAGAATTATGTGAAGATACTCCTCCCTGAGTTTTTAAAACACAAGTTAATACTGAGGACTGCACAATGCTGGGCACGTTTCTATAGCTTAAACAGAACTTATTTGAAAGAGTCTTTAGGAATCTATTATTCATTCTATTCCCTGAAGCAGTAATGGAGAAATTTTGCCCCTAAGCCAGCAAAGCATTATGTAGAATGCTTTTTAAAGCTGTCAGATTTCATGATTTTGGATGAAATTTTCACTCGTGCATGAGTAACTCTGGTGTCTAAGTTATGTGCCTAAGTCACTTAGGTGATTTTTTAAATTTCACCCTCTGTAGTTAATGTGGTTTCAACTGGTCATCAGTTTGTTTTCCATTCCCTTTTTAAAAAACTGTTGTGAAATGTTGGGTGCAGTTAAACAGTTGCTGCAATGTTCTACTTTAGTGCTGTCTGTAACGACTCCAGAATGCAAAGCCTGTAAAGAGCTTTGAGATTAAAGGTACTATATAATTGTAAGACACTATCCTCATCCAAGGATAACGTTGCAAAAGGAGGCAAATGATGTGTGGGAAGAGGAAAGGTAAAATATTGCACTTGTTATTTCTAATGGATAAAAAAAAAATGTGGCTTTACCCTCCCACTCTCAATCCAGTAAAAATCACCACCTATTCCAGATGCCACGTGGGATCCAGTTTGTAAAATCTGCCTGGGCCCAGTGTCAGTAGTAGAATGTAGGGCATTCAGTAATCCAATGAGCCTGGATAATCAATTTTATCGGCAAAGAACTGGTATCTAAAGAGCACTGTGGAATGAGAACTAGAGGAGAAAGAAAGAAAACTCAAAAGCCAGAGTAAGAAAATCTGTTCACACTGATACCGGTGGAAGAAAAAGAAGAGAGAGTCAAACTTACAAAAAGATGTGATAGAACTGATGCGAGGGGAATAAGAAGCTTTCAGGTAATTAACCACAGAGCTTGTTGGCTTCTCTCTGTCCTCTCCAATACACAATATGCTCCAAAGCATTACCAAGAGACTTGTGAAAAATGCTACAGTTGTATATTCGTTAGCAGAAGTATCCAGGTTGATTCTGTACACACCCAGGGCCAGCCTTTGAACAATGGACAGCATCTGTGCCATACACATAAATCATGCACCTGTGTGCAGTGACATAGGCAAATTCTTTGTGCAATAAGTACAAGCAATCCCGTTCGCTGACCTTTCAGGTGGTAAGAAAGTACTCACGTACGTGTACAGGTTGGCTCCGTTCCTGACCAGCCTAAATTGTACTGGCACACTCTGGCTGGGCTTCCCTGCAGCTCATATCCACCAATGCAGGAAAACTCACAGGTGACACCATAGTTATCTCCATCACCTGTACATTTGATGTAGCCATTTTCTGGGGCATTCAGTTTACCACAGCGCCTAACTTTAAATACAAAAAAGAGAGAACATCAACTAATTCCCCGTCTCCGGAGCAGTGCTACTAATGAAATCATATTGTACTAATATTAAGGTGACATTCTGGCTCGCTGCTTATTATTAGCTTTCAAAGAGAACCCAGCACTTATTTCTTTTTTTAAATATGAATCTAGCTATTGATTCCTGGATCGTTTATGCATACATGCTAGTTTATATATTAGTAACATGGGATTGTGGAGGGGAAGGGCAGTTGAAGCCCAGGTTGTCAGAGACCCACAGCTTTCAACTCCGTGACAGAAGCAGCTGCTCTCCCTGACAAATGTCCTAGAGTTTGTCAGATGGCAGCCCTGTACAGATCTGACTCACCTGTTGGTCAACAACAACTAGATATTAGGGGAGGCATGGACCTGGGAAGGCCTAGATAATGGGAGGAAGTGGGCAGGGGAAGCATGGGCAGAGGAGGAGGCACAGATTTGAGAAGCAGAGCTGGAGGGCAGGGGCTGGTCAGTAGAGCTCCTATCTGTCTCCTAGACCCCCACTGCTCATCTGACCCCTAGATCCGTCCCCAGAGCTCAGTTCACTGGCTCCCTAACTTCCCTCAGTTGATTCAGGCATTTTCAAATTGTATGAGACAGAATATTCTTCCAGTGGGAAAAGTTCTCTCTCTCTCTCTCTCACACACACACACACACACACAAATACAGAAAGACTGGCTGTCACTTGGATCCTTACATAAGTATTAACTGGTTTTGTTTACACAATTTGACACTGTTCTTACCTCTGACTTTAACAAGAAATTTGCAAGTGCCTTTGTTTTCTGCTCTGTCATACACAGTGTATTGGATCTTGTGGTCACCTTCTGAAAAATGTGACCCAGGGGATGGGCCTTTCAAAATCACACTAAAAAATGAAATAAAATAGACCGGGTGTTCAGAAATTAAGTTAAGGTTTGTCCAGTAGGAAAATATTAACAGCCTTCGGATGGAAAGCCCTTCTGTCACTGGGGAATGTTCAGATTGCCTGGCTGTGCTGAGAGTTTGTCGAGTGACAGAAAACAAGAGGAGGATGAGTGGCAGAGCCCACAATATTTAAGAGGTAAAGTCGCAGCAGCCTGGCTACTCCTAGCAAAGTTACCCACTACTGCTAACAGCTTAGTGTAGACAAAGGTAGTGTGACTCACATCGCTGTAAGACAACTGTCAATGGCATTTTATTTATTTATTTAAATTTCATGTAACAGTTAAACAAGGCATGAGTTTGTTTCTTTCCATGGAAACAAAAATACCTGGATGGAGAATCTAGAACTGAGCATCATTCATTATAGCAGGATAGTTGGTTGTACAGGATTTGAACATCAGTCAGGGCTAGTAGAGTACCACTGTTTGTTTGTTTGCTTGCACTGTTGTTGCCGTGTTGGTCCTAAGATATTAGCGAGACAAGATGGGTGAGGAAATATCTTTTATTGGACCAACTTCTGTTTGTGGAAGGTATAAGTCTTCAACCTACACAATGCTCTGTGTAGCTCCATAGCTTGTCTCTCTCACCAACAGAAGTTGGTCCAATAAAAGATATTACCTCACCCACCTTGTCTCTCTCATTGTTTGTTTTTAAAAAGCCATCTGTTAACACTGCAGGTTACCTCTCTGTGCCAGACTATACATACAAAAAGGGTGGGAGGAATCAGGATTTAATCTCTCTCTCTTTGTGATGGGAAAGGCAGGCATCCCATTGCAGGCTTCAGCTCAGCTGCTCATTTCCAACCAAAGCGTATGTCAAGAGAGTTCTAAACTCTCAAGGCAGAAACTCATCGACCAGGGCCAGACTAAGCATGGTTCAAGAAGCTTCAATCCACTCAGGGCCATATTTTTACCTCAATAGAGTCCCTCTCATCCCTCCATATGCAGAAATTGTGAATACTTGCTGCCTGGAGCGCAGAGGACAAGAAGCCTTGAGATTGAATAAACATTTCTTAATCACCTGTTAGGCAAGTCCCCTGGTAATGAGCCTCTGAATGTTATGCTTCCAGCTGAACAAATGGGGCTTAAGGTGGCGCCTGAATCCAGGGTTCTTGCATGGCAGCTTAGTTTCATCAGACCTTGAACCATCTTACCAGCACAGTAAACAGTTTTGCTAACCCCAACCATTCAAAAACCGTGAGTCAGGCTTCAAAGTCATGAGACTGACTTAAAAATAATCTTATGATTTTTTTAGATAAATTTTGGAGGGGGAGCATTATTTACTTTCTGGTTTTAAAGCCTTTAGGGTGCACTCGGGTCACATTTCTCTACAATAATTAGGGCTATAAACTTTCATTAAGAAAAAACTGAGATACTCACAGACTCACCTGGCTCCAGGAACCAAGACTTTAAGAAAAGCAGCAAATATCACAAGACTTGCAGTAAAATCACAAGAGTTGACCACAGAAATTCTGAAAATGCATATGTCCTTCACAGAAAGTTTCCATAGAATAATAGCTATTTCACTGGATTGGGAACAGTTATTGGTCCCATTACATTGGATTATACAGCTCCTATTTTTATCATGTGACACCATTTCACTGGGAGTGTTTGTGTGTGTGTAGGAGACAGGGAGCATTATTAGTAATTTCCTCATTCTGACACCGAACAACAGATAGGCCAAAGTTCTTATTTTAGGATGAGAGCTTCTTTAGTGGCTCTTAACATCACAGTTCTTCTTTTGCAATCACAAGCAC